ACGCCAGCGATGGAGCCTGGTGCAGAGCTTGCCTGGCAGGGAACGTCTGGTATCGGAGCAAATCTCCCTTGCTAAAGCTCAAGACAACTAATAAGAAAGGTTTTGTAGTGTTTGCTCATATTTAGGTGTGCAGCTTTGCCTGTGGAACCACTGAAAGCACCCAGTGACTTCAGTGTACCTCGCAGAGGTTTCTGCATTACCGCTGATCCCCAGCTTCACTTGGCCGTGGTCTCCTGCAGCTTTTCATCTTGAGAGATCTAACTATAATAGTGTGATCACACTGTACTAGTGTGATCTAATGGACAGCTTTAGATCACATCGTATAAACGACATCAATATGGAATAGATTTTTTTCCCATGAAAAGATCAATTCTGCAGTATTGTTCCATTCATGAAATAATGCCACATTTTACAAAATCATATCATAATCGCACACAGTACTCTGTACCTCCTTCCTGTGCATTAACTTTAGGGTGCACTATGCGTTTCTTTCTAAGACACTCATAAACTTGCTGCTTATTAAAAGCTAAGATCTGCAATAATTTGCATACATGATATGATATCCGGGACATGATATTTTTAGGAAGAATCAACAACAGTAATGTTATAAAAAGTAATAAAAAGTACAGTTTTGAAAGGTAGTGCCTATTTCAGTAGTACCATCTCACGTGTTAAAGCACTATGTGCAGTACTAATTTGGGGAATTTTTATTTTAGCCACTGCTCTAAGAAAAATACATCATGGATAAATATGAACTCATTAAACAAATTGGAGAAGGATCTTTTGGCAAAATATTCTTGGCAAAAGGAAAAATGGATGATGAGCCATGTGTTATCAAAGAGATCAATTTAACTAAGGTAAAACAACAAAACCTGAATTGTATTTACCAAATTGTGCTACTTGCATTTAGCTGGGTACGAACATAAGTTATTTTTTATGTCCTTTGTAGTTCCATCTCAATTATATAGAGCTAAGCTTTCCAAAGACTGTATTCTTTCTAATTTATTATTTTAAAAGCATAGATGTAATACTATGAAATACTTTGCTTTTTACTGCGTTTTTGTTCCTTTTAAAGCTTCTTCCTGCCTGCAATGTGTGGCACTGCCTAATTCAAATTCTGTAATAGTTGATTCAACTACAATGAAAATATTGCCACTAAAGTAACAAATCACAATTCTGTGGTAAATTTCTGTATGCTTTTTCATTTCCTTGTTCCCCACATCCATATTTTCAGACAGGAGTAATTCACAATGGGGTCTTTCCAATTCCCATTTATATTTATGGCAGTTCGATTAATCTTGTCTGATTTTAAGTTTTCATTCTGTTGCTGTCAACAGTTGGGATGCTTGGCCTTTGAAGGAGAACGAGAGAATTAAGTGTTTTTAGGAAGCTGCTGGTCACATGTGTTTTAGATTTGTGATTTAGAACGAGCTCGCTTGGGCCTTGAGGCTTCTGCCTTCCTTCCCACCGAGTGCAGAGGCAGCTTAGGGCCACTTGCTCGGGTGCTGGGGGAATACCACGCCTGGATCTGCTTCCAGAAAGGCACTTAAAATCTCTGTGACTTCAATGCAGGGGTTTTAACAGTCAGTTTCAATGAGTGCCTACAGGCTTTTGACAGGTCTGTTGCTATTCTGAGCCACCCCAGAGAATTTCTAATATATTAGAGAATTACAGTAGAAGAATGAGTTCTACAAAGATGTATGTCTTCCAGATTCAAACCTGGAAAAGCTGATACATGAGTAATGACAGCTAAATGAAAAGATGAATAGTTTCTCTCTGTGCTCGTGACCAATAAACCCCCTGCATTTCTAATCTTGGATTTTTGATGTACAACTAGAAGAATGGTTGCTAATGAAATATTACTGCGAATCCCACTTGTTCAAAAATGAGAAGCTGGAGACAGAAAATTGCTACTTTGAAGTCAAAAGATTTTTTTTTTAATTATGGTAGAGTGTGTTTTATTCAGTTACTGAATTTTGAATCTTTAAGGATTATATTTCAAAAATATTTCTCAAGAATGAGGGTTGGAAACTTTACTATGCAGTAGAAGAGGACATTTTGAAGGATAGATACTCAGAGAAATGAAATTTTAAGTAGTATTGATGGAAGTGTCATCCTATTAAACTAAATAGAAGTTTTCCATTAATGTAATAGGGCAAAGAGTTTGCCTGAAATGTTACAAAAACAAGTAACTCTAGTAAAATGAAGGATTTTTTTACTTTGATCTTTTGACATCACCCCTGTTAGCATTACAGAGTCATCTACATCCAAACTCTTCAAATTCTTATGGGAATTCTTTAGCTTTGGAGTTTAAATTCTTTAACTTAAAGGTTGACATTTGCCTGTTTGTAAAATGTCAAAATTGCATTTGACTTTGGTAATGTTCCAATACACTTTCAAACATACACTGCAAATTGGTTTTTTTGTGTTCTATATACATCATATTTTATAATATTTCCACATTGCCTTGGTACACTGTATTTTTGTATTAGTGGGAATAGTGTGGTAATGATGTAACTA